ACAACATAGTTTGCTCGACAAAGAGTCAGAAAGATGCAGGCTTTTGGTCATTTGATGTTCGTGTTTAATGTTTCTGTGTGGTGTGACCTTTAGGAAATGCGCAAAACATGTATTTGTGTTATGAAATCTATAATTCAATATATCCAATAATTGTATATTTAGAGTCTATGGGTTACGCAATTAACCACATTTAATGGCTACTATTCTCTGCGGACCCACTCAGCAGAGAATTTCCATAAACGTTCATTTGAGCAGCGGGTAATATTCTACATGTTGTTGGTGCTTTGGAAGAAAACAATGTTGTGCAACAGAGGCTCTCTAATAGCAATTTAATTGGATTATTATCAGTATTGGATCAGATAATCGTAAAAGCAAAATGGAACGTAATATGACAGCTAAGAGGCGCCGAGCAATTATATTAAAGCTAATAAAACCTGCATGAACGCCTCACTGAAAACAACATCTATTGCTCCATAGAGCTGCCAATACTCAGTGGAAATTCCTGTGAAAAGAAAGATAACAGCAGTTATGTATTTTCCCAGAGGTCGGTTTCTACTACAAATGGTTGATAACAGTCTGCAGAATGCTCATTAATGTTGCCTCACATGTTGCAAGTTCAATAGACTATGTGAATATGAAGATGTCATACAAAAAGAGAACAGTGCTTTATGTTTTGCGTAGGTCTTGTATGCCCTCCAAATCAATGGATATTGAAACTGTATACTATATGTGGTGGTATATATATATATATATATATCTGTTTTACCCAGAAAAGTCCTAAATTGCTTTGTTGCTATTCCACACATTAGGGTGATCTAGAATTTCAAATCAAATCAAATCAAGTTTTATTTATATAGCACATTTTTAAACGATTTTTGGTCGAGCCATGCATACATACATATACGTACATATGTACATATAATAAAAATACCCTTCAGTAAAGACACTTTACATCAATGAATTTGATAAAAAACTAAACTAAAAAAACAAGCCTTAGGCTACGCTAAAAACATGTGAACAGTGTTAATGAATAAATAAAAGAATGAGTCTAGATTGCCCATTGAAAATGTTCCATAATTGTCCAAGCCATAAAAACAACCTGGATTTTTTATAATGTCTGAAGGCAGGAAAAGGTGACGGAAAATTCCGTCGGTAACACTGTGTCCAGGAACAGCCTATAGTCATTAATATGGTCCCCAACGGGCCGGTGTATTCTGCAGGTCTACCAGTAGAGACCGATAGAGGTCAGACATAGACTGAGGGGAAATGTACCAGGAGAGCGTGGAAAAGTACATTTGCAGAGTACCGTGTGCAGCATACAGACAGTAACAAACAACAGTAAAGTGATGGGAACAAATGTATTTGATTGCCACAACAACAGTGTAAGTAATAAGCATAGTTTGCAAACGTTTTCTGAGTTGTGAAACTGTACACCAGGCAAATACAAAACTATTAAACTAATCCTTTTAGATTGCACACAATCGCTTCTATGACAAGTTCATTGATTCCCGTGAACATCAGATGATACAAATTATTGCAGCATGCATCATCTCGGTTGACATATTGACTTCTGTAGGCAATATACGAGTGACCTATTCATGCAGACCATGTAATTACATTTGTATTGGAGGTTGTTATGATGTTGTTGGTTGCATCGCATATGTTTACGTTTTGTGGGTTAACCGTTAACCGTTAACTGCAGAAACCAATGTGGCAATGGCAGAGGAAAAGTTCAGAAGCAGGGCATAAGGGATGGTGCGTTCAAATGCTCCCCGTCAACTCGTTCTTTCAAGCGTCGATGTTGTTTACTAATAATATATCTTATGCAACTTCATGGTACCGTTGTCATGGCCTGAAAAAAAATGGAAAGATACTTAGAGTTGACTGTTAACACTTTATATTATTATATGTTTTGTAATTATTATTAATAATTCTTTATTTTGTTGTCTTTAGTTGTTGATCAATCCTCAGCTGTCAATCAAACCCTTATATCTATAGATAAATATAATATATATCTAATTTTAGAAATATCCCTTTTTATATGTATAATCTGTAGTATTTGTTAACACAGTGATGGAAACTCTATTTTAAATAATATTTTATGGGCTCAGAACAGTCTCATAATACACACATGCACACAGAAGGATTCAAACTTGTATTTCATGATCCGCAAAAGGATTCACGCTTGTATTTCATGATCCGCAAAAGGATTCACGCTTGTATTTCCGGATCCACACTTGTGTTTTTCAATGCACACACAAATGTGTTCCGTTTCATATACATGTAAATAAAATCCAAATACAGAAAAAAGTTTTAAATGTGTATTTTTGATCCACACATTTATTTTCCGTTTAAAACCTCTGAACCTGCAAACACAAAACAGCTTTCTGTGCTTGGATCGCTGTGCATTCGTGTGTGTTTTTTTGTTTTTGTTTGGGTTCAGTTTAACCACAGTAGTTTCCAAATCTATCAGTAAGCAATTTGAATTTTTAGCCTTAAATATACAGGGTTCTTACACCTTTTCCAAAGTAAAATTCAAGCACTTTTCAAGCATTTTCAAGGTGCATTTTCAAGCTTTTCAAGCAGCGTACAGCTGTNATGTAAACACATATTTCCATTTGAGGGGGTAGTGATTAGTAAAATATGCATGAATAATACAAACAAAATGTTAACTAGGTGAAAAAAGGTAAGATAAACTTGTTGAGAGCTAAAACTAGTCTTTGCTGTTGCCTCAAAGAGGAGCAGGGGGGAGAGGAGGGAGACAGGAGAGGCCGATTCAGGAGCCCAGACACACTCACAACTATAAATGAACCAAAAACAAATAAATAAACAAGTTTCAATGTTTTTTCATATTGGATATTGTATGTTATTGGTTATGGCCATGCACTTATGATTTTATGATTATTTAAATGTATACATTTTTGTTTCATATGGGTGTAGTCTCTTTATTTCCCCCTCAAAATGCACCAGATTGATGCATTTAAGTCCAACATTTAAAAAAAAATCTTACCGGGGGAGCATGCCCCCAGACCCCCCTATAGGATTTGAGGCCCAGCCCCACTGTTCCCAAATAGATTCGCAATTTTTTTTAAATAGTAACCCATCTCCATATGTTTCTTTTTGGGTAGTAGATTTAAACTAGAGGGCTATCACTTTGTGCAGCAACGCTATTGACAAATAAATCCAGCAAAATGGCACAAAAAACTGGTAGTGGCCTCAGGGACGAGGAGTCATTTAACCAGCCAGTAGGTGCCTTGGCAGTATCAGTTCTTTTATATCCATAAAGAAAAAGTAAATCTGTTTACAGTTGTTTCATTATGGATGTTGAGAGGTATCCATATATCTCTTCATTTTGCTCTCAAAGTGCACCAGATTGATGCATCTAACTTCAATATTTAAAAAAAAATGTTCCCGGGGGAGCATGCCCCCGGACCCCCCTAGACTAGAGGGTGTCAGGTCCACTCCCCACTTATAAAAATAGCACTTTACCACTGCACCCCCTCTAATCTCAGATGCACCCTGAGTCATTTTGTTTAAGTACAGTGAGCCTTTCTAAAATATACAGTAAAGAGACAAACCCACCAGCATTATAGGATATACTATGACTTTGTGCCAAATACTTGTTGCTGATTTAGAGTACTGGCACCTTTTTTATTCCAATTCAAGCACTGGTCTGTATGAAGTTGTTGTGAATGTGGAGGGAGTAGCTACAGGTTAGCTTAGCCTAATCGATCAGTGCACTACAAAGCCAGTGCTAGACAGTGAACTGTCAACGGGGGTAGCCCCGCCGGTCATTATCGGCCGATATTCACTCTAAATAGTTTGATCGGTGCTCTCTATAAGGCCGATCAGGAGAGCTGGATCTGATCGATATGGACATAAACGCGAGTGAAGTGTAACCGGACGCGAGAGAGAGATCAGATCAGCTGTTGAGTCTGACGGAGACACGCAGCTCTGCATGATCACCTGATGCTCCGCCCTCTGTTTAGCGAGCTGACCGGACTGCGCAAAATGCGTAAGTGTCATGAACGCAAGAAATCTACCCTCGTGGCAGCGCGCTCATGTGATTGGCTTAGACTGGAGGAGACATCTGATTAGCTATAGATGATAGAAATTACAAGTACGAATCGGCTGACCGTCAGGGGAGTCTCAAAAAACCCACACACGAATGCACAGCGATCCATGCACAGAAAGCGGTTTGTGTTTGTAGGTTCAGAGGATTTAAACGGAAAACAAATATTTGTGGATCAAAAATACATATGTAAAACTTTTTTCTGTGTTTGGATTGTATTTACATGTATATGAAACGGAACACATTTGTGTGTGCATTGAAAAACACATGTGTGAATCATTTTGCGGATCATGAAATACAAGTGTGAATCCTTCTGTGTGCATGTGTGTATTATGAGACTGTTCTGAGCCCATAAGATTTGAATTAATGACAAAAATAGTTCCGAATTAAAGTTTCAATTAAAGTAAAAGCATAAAGCTCAAGTAATGGCAGTACTCTTGTAGCATCTGAGTTGTGTGTCAACAACATATATGGTAAAATCAAACGCCCACACTATTAGTCTTCAAACAAAGCAGTTCTCTTAAAATTAATGCATTAAATTAGTTGTAGGTTGTATACTATATTGCATCAAATGATATGGTTTTACATGTATGTGTTAGGCCTACATGTAATCTGTTTTCTGCATTATATCATAAGCACAATAGAAAAATCACCTCTAGTAGCCTACACAGAGTTAAAATAAAGTAAAAGTCTCCAAATAACCAAATGTTTCCAGAATCAGCCTTTTGAATACTAGAGGAACTGAATTAAACTAATCTTAATTTATGTTAATCTCCCATGGATTTGTGTGGCATGTTTTTATAAAGGTCTGGGTCCTGAATGTAGTTTTTCCTACGGCACTCAAAGGCACCTTACTATCCGACCCGCCAACCCTGACTAAAATATGCACGCGTCAGTTGACGTCAGATGGCAAGTCATACAAATATCAGCCGGTGGCAGAAATAGCATCAGACAGTCGCTTGTTTTAACCGGCGAAGCTCACACCCGACACAGCACAGCACTGCGCCTAAACAGCAGCAGCAAGTTAGTGCATCGATACTATTGACGAAACTATTCCGGATATCACTTAGGTGACCAACCAGTCGCAAACCTGGCGAGAAGCGTAATCCAAACGAGTCTGGTACTCAACATGAGCACGGAGATGTTCAGTAAAACCGACATGGAGGTGGCCGTGTATCAGCTGCACAACTTCTCCATCTCCTTCTTCTCCTCGTTTGTGGGAGGAGATGTTGTATCGGTCAAACTTGACAACAGGTAAATATCTGACACAGCCGCAATAACTTAGAAAATACATTATTTATAATTAATGAGTTAGATTAGTTATAAATCGGATAATTAACTTACTCAAACTTTACTTTAGGCCTCCAACTAACGTTACTGTATTTTCATAAAGCGGATCAAAACACATCGTGTGCAATGTGTGATGAAGTTTTTATTTACAAAATGCCTTAATGCCGTGTGCCCAAATATTCTCTCTGCTGCTATTTGCTTGGACTTTGAACATATTTTGCCAAACTACTGTCTCACCTAACAATATGTGTGCTCGTTATCACCTAAAAAGCTATTTTACCCTCAAAGCAATACACTTGCAGTTTATATTAAAAACAAATATAATAATACATAAAAATGAATTTCATGGAAGCAGGTTGAACAGTTTTCCTTTCTGTTTTGCACACTTTCTGTTTTACTCCCAGAGGCCTGCTATCTGGGTGAAACAGCAACATTTCTTTGTTTTCTTAAAAGTTTTGTGTTGAGTGTTTTCAATGAGTGAGGCAGTTGTGGCTTTGAACTTTTCATTTATGGCTCTTTTTTTTCTCTCTCTGCAGTGCCTCTGGTGCTAGCGTTGTGGCCATCGACAACAAGATTGAACAGGCGATGGTAAGCCCAGATAACAAACACAAACACCAGACAAACACTTGAGAATGGGTTGCAATATACTATACTATACTATACAATACATGTATATATTTTGTGTTCAAATCCTAGTTCATAGATTGGATTTTGTCCTGAAAGAGACTGTTATGTTTATCAGAGCAGTTATAATACATGCTATACATTCTGCACAAAAGCAGCACTTGTTGAATGCTCTAGAAGAATACTGTTTATTATATTAAAATGACAACACAGAAAACGAGTGCAGAAAATGACAGCAATAAGTAAAAAAACAACAACTGATTGATAACATTGTTGCAGCACAAAATAATTAAAAACACTCTTGATTCACAGGCTTTTATGCCAGTAAATGAAAAAATATGATATACAGAAATCATCTGACAGCAAACGCCATATATTTTTAGCATGGATTACCTGCAAAGCCAAGCTCATCAGCCTCAACATTTCCTCATGTTTTTATATCAAAACTGATCCAACTATTTTTCTCTATTATGACAGGATCTTGTCAAGAACCACCTCATGTATGCCGTGCGAGAGGAGGTGGAGGTCCTCAAAGAGCAGATCAAAGAGCTGGCAGAGAAGAACAACCAGCTGGAGCGGGAGAACTACCTTCTGAAGAACCTGGCCAGTCCAGAGCAGATGGAGAAGTTCCAGTCCCGCATCCCCACAGACGTGCTGCTACCGCTGGACAACCTGAGCGCCCAGCTGACCCCAGACCAGCATCTGCCCTGTACTCGCATCGCTGGCTCTGCTGTATAAGTGGCTCTGCTTTGGGGCGGGCAGAGCCACCGTCTCTTTACAATAATGGACCTCCATTTGAACCTAATCGTTAAGAAATTGCTGCCACCGACAACCCTTCGTGAAAATGAAGGGCGAAGCACCGGGGCTGTAAACGATCGATGGGACACAAAAGGACACTGATAAGCACAACACAGAACTTGAGATGCTCTGTCTGGTGTGCCAGTCAGGCCAGCTCTCTGATACCGTCAAACTCTTTGTCGTAGTCTCTCTGTGTAGACAAAAGCGCTAAGAATAGAGAGGGGTGACGCTTGCTTTCAGACGGCAGGGGGGCTTTCCCTGCCTAGCCGAAACCCTTCCAACAAACACCCTTTGCTCTAGCAATTGGGAGTGAAGAGGTGTGGATTGGGCTAGCCCTGCAGGTGCTAACTTGAAAAGGTGTTGGGGAAGAGACCCAACCTGAGACGGTCCTCCATGTGTCAACAAGAAGAGCCACATCAGGTGGATTCAGATCTAAAAAACACAAGTTTGAAGGACTCCCAACCGCATATTTCAGCCCCTTAACAGGGACCTTTCTTGTGCCTAAAATGTGTTGCTCATGTATTCATGTACATCTAAGCATAACAAGAATAATCAACAGGATAAGCTAAGAGGTGGAGGTTAATGCAGTATAGCCTGTTAGAGCTGGTGGACCGCTGCAGTACACTGAATATACTGTAATAATTCATGAAATGTAATCTTGTATTGCCTGCAGTTGGGGCTTGCTGCTTATGGGGGAAATTTAATTCTGCAATATCTTCTGTTTTTGTTTGTGATTCCGAACAAAAATCAGTGGTTTCTAAAAAGGCACTGTACAGATTTATTTTGTAATACTGGACAGGAATATCTGCCCACCATGTACGCCTAGCTCTTCACAGCAAAAGATAAATGTAACTGCAATGTACCTAAAGTTGAAACGTCCAGGAGGAAGAGCAGTGGAGATGGTGAGCAACCAGAAGAGCCAGCAGATGCACTCCTGATTTTAGCAGCGTCGTCCAGTATCTGGTCTGTGTCTCGCTCAGATGCCAACTTGAAAACAATGGCATGACAACAGTGCCTGTTCGTAGTAAGAGAGGAACACATTTCCTCAAAGAGCTCTGTTATTGTTGTTTTCTAGCTACCAAAGACTTTTTGCCTTCTTTTTTTTGGTCTTGCAACAACAGAAGCCAAGCAACCAGGACCATGTGTACAACGTCACAGGGAGAAGTGTTGTTTGTACCTAATGCTAAAGTGTATACGTGTTTTGTAAAGATAACGGTATTGTTGCTGTAAAGTATCCTTAAAAAGTTCTTCACTATGGTGTTTGGATACAACTGCACATTTGCAATAAACCTTGTGTTTACATTATACAATACGTTGACGCACGTTGTCTTTTTGTTCCTCAACTGTGCCCACATAGTGTGTGGTCCAAAGAAATGAAAGCTTTATGATGTGTATGTTACAACATTACAAACTCAGTGCAGGAAAGACCTTCTAATGATCTATCTAATGTTTTAATTTGACTTTATTATAAATACACAGTAACTACCTCCTAACTAAAGAGCCCACTGTTTAAAAGGGAGATTTAATGAATGCTAGGACAGATTTCTGCAGAAGCTTTATCAGGGGAAAACCACTGACTCCAGACCTTATTTTTTTTCCTTTTCCCTTATGGTGGTATTTTTGAGGTTAGATATTGTGTCTGCAATAGACCAATGTATTCACTGGAAATCCAGTCAGGGAAGACAGATGAGACTGCAATAACAACCATGATGATTCGATTTTCTGGTGCGGAAAGTATTGCAAAAATACCCCTATCTTTAATTTCAGACTCAACATCACATTCTCTGTGTGCAAAACTCAACTCTTGAAAGTTATCTTAGACATGATGTCAAAGGTCAGGTCAGACTTGGATTTGTAAAATGGATCACATGTTGTAGATAGGCATGAGGCTCTTCTGGTTAAAAGATAATTTAAACATAGAAAATATATTTTGTTGTTGACTTATACGAAAAACACACACACTAAAGTAAACACACTTTTTTCCATAGTCAAAAAAGCATGCGACCAATAATGACAGTGAAGTAATAATAGATGGTTGCCAGATGATTGGAATGAGAGTGAGAAAACAGTTTGTCCCCGTTTGGTTTCCCTTCAGACGGACTGGCAGCCAGTCAGTTCTGCCTGAGTGTAACTGGATATGCTGCGGCTTCCCTGGTGGAGCAGGCTCTCATCCATCCATCGCTGAGAGCAGAGTCTCAGCCAGGGCTTAAAACCACCACCACATATCAAAAAGCACCATCGTAAACATGGTGTCTTCCCCTGTTGCTCACTTTTACTGCTCCCTCCTGGTGTTTTGTGTCAAAACAACCGATTGTATGTGTTCAATAAGGCTGCTATAAAATGCTTGCTGCATTGAATTAGAGGCAGGCAGGATGTTCAGCGTATTGATTTAGAAAGACATTTGTTTAATGTAGAGGAGAGTGAAAGGCATTTATTGGCTCTTTTGCACAAGATAATTTCAGTCAGTCTTTATCCAGACACCTGAACACCTTGTGCGTGCCAAGAAAAAGAGGCTGCAGGGTCTTATAAACAGGAAGTGGTAATGCAGCTTTATTATGCTTGTGCTAATAGCTAATGCAGCTTCAAAGACAGTGGAAAAAAATGATCTGGGTTGCACAGCTAGCATGTACATGCCACAGAATAGAGGCTCACCAACACACTGAAGACAATTAGGGCTTCGAGTTGATTTTGTTTTTTGCTTTAACACGTGTCCTGTCATTCTATATTTGGAGAGGTTAAGGAACAGTGTGTTCATGAATAACTGAGTGCATGTGGCTTTTTATTTAAAACTGTCATGTTGGAGCCCCATCAGGGAAAATGGGACGTAGTTGGCAACGCCTTGTCCCCTTCAGTTAACTCTGAAATTAAAGTTGTTTTTGAGGTCATAGTCTTATATCTTATATAGGTCCACACTATTTTGGTTGTACTATTCTTACCACACTATAACATTTAAACACAACACTTCAAACCATATTTTCTTAATCATATAAGCCCATTTTCAACATGTTTTGCTCAGTATCCTCAATCAAACATTGATCTCAACCCTAGTAAAAAGCTCACTAGCTAATGTACAAGATGTGTTCACATTCATTCATTTGTTAACGTCTGAACACATGCACCCATTTCTGGTTACTGCCGGATTTTCTTGAAAGCAAAAAAACAGAAGATCTGACTTCACATTAAGTTACATATTAAACGTGTGGGAGGAGCCCTAGGTGTGGAAATAAACTCTAGATTGGAGCTTACTTGAAACCAGGCAGCCAAGAGAGGAGTCTTTGTTGGATTACTAGTGTTATGCAATGAAAACAAATAGAACATCTGTGTCGGATGGAAATTCAGGGGTTGTGCTGGGATAAGCCAGCCCTGCCTTAATGTGGTTGGGATCGCATGCAGGGGAATAATTTGGTCTGACTGCTTTTCACGGAGACATGCACAACTTGTGTGTTCTTTTGAATGTCGGTGTATTTATCATGTCAACATTAAAGCAAGAGCTGAGTGAAACAAATGTCAGACTTGAGCCATTGACTATACTCTAATGCAATGTCCTGCATTGCTCATTTCCTCTAATGCTAACAAGTTGCTCGGCTTTTTCCAAATAACCCTGTCAATAGAATTGTTTATGACACATGGTTTTACAACATGAAAAAGGGGCCATGATTACTCGCTCAAATAAGTAAACTTATAGCTTCAGGGTCACAGCATGTTACACAACTTAAAAACAAGACTTAATTGATTCTTTAACACTACTTATTTTATCTGCTGACAGGGCAATGTGACCTCTTTAAAGTCATAGACCTCTTAAGAAGAGAGGGTTAAAGAACAAAACACAATGCACAAGTTCATGCAAGAGTTAGTTTCAGCACAGCCAGATTTATTTACTTATTGCTGCCTGTTTATGACTTCTTCACCCATTTGATGTTTAGCGGACACAATTCTTGCCTCTGTAACCTCCTCAGACAAACAATGCACAGACACGTTGTTGCACCACAGAACGAAGATGGATATGCCTTATCTTTCATAATCACACTTATCCTTGGCTAAGCCTTTGTGTATCTGATGTGGCTGTGTATCTTACATGTTTTATTCTATTTTTCCACATGATAGACCTAACAGGATCCTCAAAGTTGTCAACATTCTAAATGAGGTCAGAAGGTTTGTTTGTGTGTGGTTTTGGTGGAAAGATTGACGTATAAAAGTGCTCATTATGCCATGTTTTTACCAAACATACCCAAGTGTGAACGCAACAATAGTAGTTGGTTCCCCTCATTTTGTTGACAAGATATTTGAACAATTCAACTTTTAATATACATTTCTTTGTTTGAAGGTCACAAATGATCCCTAATTTGAGACATCTCACATGTTAAATGAGTGGCATTGATAATACTTTTAGGAAGATGAACCAGAACTACATGTAAGGGAGTATGTGGGTCAAGTGTCTGGAGTTTGTCACTCTTCTGGAAAAAACATGTGAAACTAAAATGTTTATTAAATGAGGGAAGAGCGTGACCTTAATCCAAGCTGTCGGTTTGATTTATTATACTGACTAAAAATAGTCCAAAACAAACCAAAACATGAACAAGACATAAATTATGCATTTGTTCTGGACAGTTATTCTGTGACAAATTGTTGAATTTCCAACATTTCAAAATGTACAGTATAATGTGGTGTCTTTTTTCCATGATCATACTAAAATGCATATTCGATATGATTTGGTTGTTTTTCAGAAAAATTGGACATAAGAGGGGAAAATGAAACAGCACTGCTGGAATCATAGCGGTTAGGGTGAAGGCTCCCTTGGGAACATCTTGTTTTTCTTCTGGATGATGGAAGCTGTGTTTGTATCCCAACGGATCAAAGCCTCTTTAGGAATGCAGCCTACCCAGGACATATTATTCATAAGGACAAAAGGTCAGGGGCCACTGGTTTCGGATTTACGGTGATACCCCGGTTCATGGCACCGCTGCACAGCAAGAGCCTGCACATAATTTAAAGCCCCGCTGGGTGACCACCACACAAGCATGTGACAACAAAGGGTCAAGAGGGAGATGGTTCAATACCTTGTGTAATAATGAAAGTGTACATGTTCCTTCATAACAGTGGACAACCATCACAAGCTTATTCCCATGACTGTTTCTGACATATCAAGACAATATTGAAGGAGATTTCCTGTAATATAGTCATTACATTTTAATGCTAGGATTTGTGTTTGAAAGTGTTTGTAAACCAGAGTGGCTCAATTGTACTCTTTAATGGTAACTATGTAATGCAGATGTTTCAAGACTTGCAAAAAAAAACCTGGAGAGGCAGTCTCTTCATTTATATTTAACATATTTATATGCAATAAAATATGTAATAAAAATGCAAGTAAAATAGCAACAAATGAAAATGTTGCGGTGTTTTTTTATAGCGATACTTTGGTTAAGACTGAGTTTATTGAACAGTTTACTGCGACATGTTTATGGTTACTACTTACTACCACGACAGCTATTTGAGTTTTTCAGGAGTCATGCAACCCTCCCTCCCTATTGTGGTCTATTTGTGTGACTGTGCCCTTTGTGTGGTAAACATCCCTCATCCTCTGTGCTCGTTGTTGCTTGAAGAGAACTTTCAGTGGGCTGCAGGAAGTTTAAGATGTAAACAAGGCAGGAAAGGAACTCCAGACAACCTTGGGAGTATATTTGTGTTTGTGTTATCTGATAGGGGGTTTCCCTTAAAGCCAACACAGACTAAAAACTGATTAGTTAATTGCATGTTTTATGTGAAAAGCTTTGAACATTAACTGTTACATATGAAAAGACCATTATAGGTAATCATCTGTCATGATCCTTGAGGTAGACAGGCTTTTAGATGATCACATTTGACAGCATCAATTGACACATTTGTTACATTTTAATGTGCGGCTTAAGAGGTATTGCTTCCCTCTTGTGTGACATGAGCTGCTATAGCTTCTTGATATCAAAACAATGTTCCCAAATTCAGGTTTAACCTCTTTGTGCTGTTGGGTGGAGTTGGAAGGGAGTTGGCTAGATGGCCTTACAAGCAAGTCATGGCAGGACAAGGCACGCATATCAAAACAAGAACAGATGACGATAAAACCAGTATACTGTGACTGTTCCTTTTAGGATTTGCATATTATTCCTTCCTTAGTTGTGATACATATGGTACGGAAAAACATAAACAAGCAAAAAGAAATACAGGCAATGTCATGCAAAGCCAGCAGAGTAAATGCACAGCACTGTGGTAATGTGCACTTTGAACATTTGCTCTTCAACAATGTTCATTTGCCCGAGAAAAACTAAGAAGTAGTTATCA